AGGAAAGCAACAGATTGGTTTGGTATTGGAAATCCATGTAAGTCTTGTATGAAAAGTGATCATTTGTTTCATATAGCTATTGTGCAAAACCAAGGAGTGTGCAGAACCATGCCAGTAAGAGAGGAAGAATTACTCATGGTTGCTTTGCTTGATTTGTGCACATGAGGAACATGCCCACTACTAAACCTGTCAGCATCTCCAGGAAAGCAACAGATTGGTTTGGTATTGGAAATCCATGTAAGTCTTGTATGAAAAGTGATCATTTGTTTCATATAGCTATTGTGCAAAACCAAGGAGTGTGCAGAACCATGCCAGTAAGAGAGGAAGAATTACTCATGGTTGCTTTGCTTGATTTGTGCACATGAGGAACATGCCCACTACTAAACCTGTCAGGCAATTCCATGCCTAGGGTGTTCCAGGCCCACTTAGAGTATCCAAATCCCCCTGACTGCTGCAAAAAATCTGACATTCACCACTAAGTGCTTTTACAAAGAGACCTTCCTAGCCTTCTCTGAAGCCATTTCATTAAGTAGCTCATCCTTGTCTGTCCATTTGGCTTTCAAGTTCTGTATAGAAATAATTGCCAGATGGCTTAACCTTTCCTGCCCCACGACATTCTTAGGTAGGTCTTCATTAATTTGAGCTTGATGAAACTTCTTCACTGTTGCTGGAAGATAGGAAAAAAGACAGTACTGTTTTTCTGTTAAGGAAATATACAACTAAAGATCTTTTGTGAATGTAGCTAAGAAGCCCAATGGGTGCTTTTGTTTCCAAGCTGTTCTGAAGGAGCAGCTTACAAAGACTGGCAAAGAGCTCAGTCTCTTTCTCAAAACTCTCTGAGTTTAAATCCTTTGAGTAGCCACTTGCTATGCTGAGTCGTCCTGAGCACACCTCTTTAGATCTTCACTGATGACACTTTTCAGTTTCTCACCCAGAAAAAAAAAATCCCTTGCTCCACTGTCATCATTCTTACACACCCTAGGGTCCCCTTGTGTTACTGTTGTGTTGAACAGGGCATTAAAAATGTTGTGTCCAAAAACTATTTCAGAATCATATTGCCCTGCATCTTTTGCATGACTTTCCTCCTGTGAGATCATCTGCCTTTGACCTGAATGGATATGCCTAACATGACTATAATTTCAAGAAAGTGTCTCGAAGACTACCAAGTAAACCATGAGCCATTTGAATGTCAAGATCTGGACTCTACAACTTTTTGCTCATATTGCAAACTATTTATATGGCAGTTTACCACATCTCCACCGAAACATGAGACCAAAAGTTTACTTGGCAAAGGGAAATGAAGTGGCGATTTAAATAATCGCCGCTTAATTTACATCAAAATGGCCACTGCGCTGTGCCAAACAGCTGTTTGTCGGCACAGCACAGCAGTCTAGGCACGGATCTGCCAACCCCAGAACCCTTCGTTGACAGATCCTTTATGCCTCATGAAACTAGGCTTACAGGATCTGCCACCGAAGGATTCTGGAATCGGCAGATCCCCACCTAGACTGCCGCGCTATTCTGACAAACAGCTGATAGGCACAGCGCAGCGGCCATTTTGACGTAAATTAAGCGGTGATTATTGAAATCGCCACTTCATTTCCCTTTGCCAAGTAAACTCATCTACATGGCTCCATTGACACAGCCATGTAGTCTAGACACATCCATATATTCCTGTTTTATGCCAGTGTAACACTACTGAATCAGTGGCAATACTCATTTATACCAATGTGTGATCAGACACTTTGTTACCTCTAGCAGTCTAGCTACTTATACCCATAGTCCAATAAGGTCTGTGTGAATTTGTTACTCATCCTGAATTTTACTATTAGCTAGTAGAAGGTGGATAGACAGGACCCAGGATCTCTCCAGAGCCCACGCCAAGTGCCAGCATAGCCCGTGTGGTTGCCTGAAAGAGGTGCTCTCATTATATTGCAGATGCTTTCAAAGAGAATCACCTGTAAGCCTCATTTACCCCATCTTGGGCACACAACAGAAACTATGCTAATTCACATATCTTACACTTTTTTTGAGGTAAGTATTTAAGTTTCTAATGGAGAATTTAAAGTAAAGTGGTAACTTCTATAGTGCCTTCCCACACACTGGAACTGAGAGCACTTTGCACACTTATCATGTGCTGGAGTCCCTTTACCAACCACTTCTGGAATGGATCACAAAGGAAAGGTCAGATTCCTGCTCTGTGCTAAATCCTTCTTTGTGCCTGTAGCTTGCCTAAATCCCTGAGAAACACAGAGCCAGCCATGATGGTTTTATGCCTCCTTTACTAGCTCTCCCAGATAGAGGGGGCATGTCAGGGTCATTGGATGCTGTACTCACTTGATATATATTTTCCCAAACATTTCCCAGAAAAAAACCTTACCCTGGGATGAAATACAGTATGTGGAGTTTTAGGAGGATTTGGTTTCTCTTAGTGGACGTTAGGGTAGGGTGTTGAACATTGGCCTACTTTTCATCTGAGCTGCTGCTGCTGCTCACAAATCACTGATTTCTGCTAAAATGGGTATACTGATTTCCTAGATCTCTGAGTCTCTTCCAATGTTAAAGTGAATTTAGTGATGATGGAATGTGCAGAAGTGACAGCTTTGGAGAGGGAGGGCCCGTGCTCACCCACACAACAGGTCTCGTGCACAGACTGTAACCTCGGTCATTAATCTGAGGCAGTTTTTACATCATTCTTGTTTCAAACCGCATGGGGTTTTGAGCAGCTAGGCAGGCAGGCAAGGGTCTCCTCTGCAGGAGCCTGCCTGGGTGTGTACATGTGTGGTGAGGAGGTGAGGGGGTCAGAGGTGACTCTCCTCAGTAAAAAAATGTGCCTTTCAGATGTAAATTCTAAACAGGTGGATGGCCACCCCTGACGTTTTCCAAGTGCTGCACAGCGCTACATGTTGATAGTCTCTTTGTCTTTAATGGAAATCCTGTTGTTCAAACCTGATTACTTGCCTGAGTGTACAGTAATATGGGGCAAAAGGCAACAATTATGTCTCTGTGCTGGTCATCTCAGCTTCTTATTTCCTTTTCCTGCCTGTCCACAACTCACCTAGTCTCTGTGCCCTGCATTCTCTTCATCTGCTGTCCTTTTCTTCACTTCCTTCTCCTACCTGTCTCTGTCACCTTGCTTTGCTTCTTCTCATTTCCCCTGTTTTTAAAAGCTTTCTTTCCTTTTCCTCTTGTGTTAACCTTTGCAAGTTTTCACCAAGTCAGATTCCTTTTGCCATTGATGCTGCTGCCATTAAATCCAGCTGGTCTCCTGTCTGCAGACTGAGCCTGTCAGAGAGGGTACTTCACTACAGGTTAGCAGGAAGCACCTCGTGATGCCTTCCCAAACAAAATGGCCTTGTGACCAGTTCCACCTCTTTTTTTCTAAGAATCTTTCTCCATGCCCCGGATGACCTTCTTCTACTTTTAAGACAGATCCTCTGGCACACAGGCCCTGAGGTTGTTGTTTTTTAAATTGTGAATTGGCTCCCCTTTACTTTGCTACAATCACCATTGGCTTCTGCTGGGCTTCCACCGTGTGGTGAAAAGAAGCAGTATGCACCTCAGAACTCAGAAGGCTTGAACTGTGTCCCAGGGCAACTGAGAAGGAGCACCTCAATGTAGAACGATTACATGGCCCCGCTCCAGATAGCTGGATGGGTGAAGAGGAAGCAGGCAGGTCTTCTGTACTGGGCCTTTGGATTTATTAGCCAGTGATGAATGAGTAAAACCAAGAAGTTCAGCATCTTTTATAGTTTCTTATGTGAACTATTCTGGAAAGCAAGATTTGTTTTGATTGCTGAATATCAAGACTCAACCCAATGCTTATGGTTCTAAGCTATCTGATCTGCCCTGAGCAAGGGCCAGTAAGTTTTTGTGCTGACCCAGGAGCAACCTAGCAGGGAGAGGTTACACTCAGCTCACCTTCTCAGTTCCACCATTGCTCTAGAGGTAGAGTAACCTGTGCAGAGTGTACGCACAACATTGTGTGTCCAGCCCAGTGTATCAGTAAGGCTACATTACAGACAGTTCCTGGAGGAGGGGGCAAAGCAAAGGCTCACCCCACTCCCCATACACTCCTGACCAGCTGTGTAGCGACAGCAGGCGTAGTACTCCACAAAGCCTGCTTTCCCTGCTGTGCTACTGCCTATTCTGAAGGTAGCCAGCACAAGGATGTAAGGATGGAGCTTGCAGTTCATTTCTCCCTTGCACTGCCATGCAAGCTGGCCACAAGCTGGCCCTGTGCCGGTGGTGGTATCCAGGCTTCCCCATTATATTTTGAAAAGTCCAACCTTTGTTCCAAACTTTCTTGCTCAAGCCCATTTCTAATTACTTTAGTTATCGTCCTTTATGAGGTGAACCACTGTTGCCCTTCCCCTGGCTTGGTCACCACTTGTACCACTGAAGCACAGTGTGCATTGGTAGCTACGCCAGTGCAAACATCCAGCTTAGTCACAATTTGCACTTGCGTAGAGCAACTTGTACTGTGCTACCCTGGCAGGAAACCCCACTTCTGCATCCCAAGGCTACAGAATCCCATCACTACACAGAGCTGATCTGGTGGCTGAAATCCCAGGGTATACAAGGCCCTAGCTGCCATGTGGTCAGTAGCAACCAGATTGCAGATCCTGAGCTCAAATAGCAACGGGTGAAGTTCAGTGCAGGACCCGTAGGAGTGGGTCATGCAGCAACACATGGTAGCTATGAATGTTGAAAAAAAATCAAACACAGAAAACATCTGTGCCTCTGTGCTATCCAGGCTTATTTTTCCAATACTTGACATACCTCAGATAGTTCAGCGTGACTTCTGCATTAGAACAGAAGAAAAGAAAAATAAAAACATGCAATATTTCATTGGGAAGAATATTTCCATTAACATGACAAATTTGATCACACTCCCCTCCCCACTTTCTCTTGCTCTCTTCTTAAATTGCCATTTGCTGTCCCGTCAAGCTGCTCTGTCTGCCAGCCTCTTACTGCTTCTGGGATGTTTGGCTGCACTCAGACCATCATCTGACTGCAGTTAGCTTGGGGGGCTCCAGCTGTGCTCTGAAATGTCATGGACCGAGGTAAAAAAAGGGGAGAGGGTTAAGAGAATTAAATCTGTTATTAGGCATTTTTTAAAAAGGCCTTTTACAGTGGATGTAAATCATTCATTTGGCCTGCAGATCTGTTGGATGTCAGTATCAGGGGGAAGGGAGAGTGGGTTTGTTTTCTGATTATTTCCTGAAACAATCTCTGTTTCATACATTTTGTTCCTGTTTGTCTTACTTGTTTTTTAATTTATTTCTCTCTCAATCCTGGAGGTCAGGATTTAGGACAAGATTTTGACAGTTCTTGAGGCTTATGCAAGAACTTTCTCATCCAAGCCATTTGGAAATCTATTTTAGGCTGCTCATCATTAATATGCTATCCTCCTACTTCTGTCTCTCCTCTTTTTTCTTCTTGTCCCATAAAGTGCAGCTACCACCAACTTCAACTCAGGAAAGGACTTGAGCACATGCTTCAATTTGAACATGTGGCTAAGTCCCACTGAAGTCAAAGACAAAAGTGCTTCCATGTAAACGTGTGCTGAAGTGCTTTGCTGAGCAGGGATGGACTTTGCACGCACTTCACTGCTTTCCTGAATCAGCTCCTTCCTGACTCACTTTGGGACCTGGCTATTGGAATCCATGAATTTTACTTACAAAAATCCCTGGGTTTGGGAGCAGGGAGGACTGGAGAACTGTCAGCTTCAGGCCTATCCTCTCCTGTCCTTATTGCACCTCAACCTGCAAAGCTCAAACCCCATTCAGAGTGGCTTTCCTGGGTTGGAGGGAGAATAATGCCATGCAGGCCTCCCTACTGTTCAGCCTGTTGTGATTTTGTCCCTTCTAACCATGGAGAGAAGGAGTGATAGTGTCTTTAATGTACCAGAAAAGATGAGACCTAAGACAGGAAGGGAGAGGGAGCCAAAGGAATCATTAGCAAGATGCAAGTCTGGCTTCAAAGATGGTCAGTTTAATCAAGGTTAAATATGCTATTGAATCCGCCTCCTCTAGCTGATTCTTTTTATACCAGAGGCTGCATCACTGTGGGGAAACAGCAATGCCAAGGAATCATTGGCTCAGATCAAAAGCTAGGGCTGGAATAGGTGTAGCCGGCCAGAGTAAGTCTCAGGTCCGACACTGGGTTCCCAAAGTACAAAGGACGCCTCACAGATATCTGTCAAACACAAACAGTTTATTTCTTGACAGCTAACAGCTGTGCCCCATAAATGGAAGAACAACATAACAAAGAAGCGGCATATCTTGTGTTCCTTCCTGCAAGCCTGGGACCCTGGGTAGGCTGTGGACAAAGTGGGAGGTTATTTCAGTTTCCGAGGCGCCAGTACCAAAGCCCCTCGGTGAAGTCCGATTTGCTAGGCTCAGAGGGTATGTCTACACTACCCTCCTAGTTCGAACTAGGAAGCCTAGTTCGAACTACCTAGTTCGTGCCCCGTGTAGCCGCGCTGCACGGGGTTCGAACCAGCGGGGTTTTAAAAATGGCGGCTCCCCGCTTATGCAAATGAAGCCCGGGAAATTCAAATCCCGGGCTTCATTTGCAAGTGCGGTATGCCTACATTACCCCGCTAGTTCGAACTAGTGGGGTAGTGTAGACATATCCAGAGGCAGTCCTAAATACAGTTTTCCTGCCCTGTTTGGCAGTTTGGAAATTTCCAGGGCTTACTCATTAGTGCTGACGTAGAGCTTAGCTGTTAGTTATCGATCTGGTTTTGAGCTGGTTCTTCTTGTCCTTTGGCCCTGTTTACATGATCAGTACTTTAGGGTAAACAGAGTTGTTTATGTGTTCTTATCCTTTAACCTTATCTTATACTTGTTCTTGCTATACTGGCAACAATGCTTATCTTAAATGGCGTATGTTCCCAAAGACTTGCTTCTGGCTCATCAGATATAGGGAAAAGGAAAAGGGGAGAAGGAATGCAGGCCTCACCACCCCTAAACTATCACATACAAAGTTCTTCCGCAATTGACCACTACAACAGGGCAAACCAAGAAAGAGTTGTGCTCAGTGAATGCTTAGGTATTTTTTCCTCCCAGTGGGAGGAGCAGCTTACGGGGCTACAAAGTGGGCAAGAGGAGTTCAGAAGTGTTACAGGAAAAGCCCTCTATGTACTTGATTTTCAAGCACCCTGCTCCATCCCCCCCCCCCCCCCTCCCAGACCCTACAGAGAAAAGGGGAGGAGAATACTGCGGCTGAGGTGGTACTTTCCCTCTCCATGCACCGAGGGCAGCTCCACTTATGTATAGTCCTCTACTCATATAAGCAGAAGAGATGGTCCAGGCCATTGTAAATATCACTCAGGAGCAAATCATCCTTGTAGGAAGTGGCTAGTACTGGTGGTGGCAACCAAGATATGGACCTGACAATTAGAGATTGTCAAAATTTACTTATCAAAACAGTTTTACACAAAAATGTTTTTGATCAAAATATTAAATAAAACATTAGAATCTTAGGGGTAAAAATTTTGGATTTGATAAAAAATCAGTTTTTGATAAAAACATCAGGTTTTGCTTTTCAAAGCTTAAAATACTATAACAAAATACCACATTTTTCATTACAGGTTGAACCTCTAAAATCTGTGACTCTCTGGTCTGGCAACATCTATGGTCCAGTAACACCATGAATATTGTTGGACCAAAGAGCCCTGGCTGGCCAGATTCAGAAGCACAGCCCAGGCTGGGCTGGCAGAGGGGAGCCCAGCCCCAGTGGAGTGGCATGGTGGAGAGAAATGTCCTCACCAGGGCTGGCAGCAAGGAGAACAGCCCCAGCCAGGCTGGAGGTAGTGAGACTAGCAGCTAGGACCATAGCCCGGCTAGGGCTCATGCAGTGGGAAACACAGTCTCACTAAGGGCTGGCATGATGCAGGAGCGCAGTCCCAACTGGGGCTGGCAGTGGGGAGTTCAGCCCCTGCCGAGCCTGCAGGCAGCAGGGCCAGCCTCTATTTGGGGCTGATGCAGAGGGGGATGCATCCCCAGCTAGGCCTGGCACAGTGGGGAGGCTGTTGGGAAGCAAAAAACACAGCCGCACCCAGAAGCAGAGCCTACAGCTTTGACCTTCCCTACTCTGGCAAACTCCATTGTTCAGGACCTCTCAGGTCCTGAGGTACCGGATAAGGGAGTTCCAACCTGTAGAAGGAGTTTTGGAAAAATGTGTGTGTGTGGGGGGGGGGGGGTGTTGGTATTCTGACAATAAAAAAATGTGATACATTTTGTTTTATTTCTCACAAAATTTGTACTTTCATTGTACTCGCTCTACTTACAATGTGATTGAGTAGCGCTGGAGCTAGAGAGTGAATGTAGGGACGGGCATGTTCAGGCATCTTTTTGCATCTTCAAGACAGGATGCAAGAATGTTTGAGGAACTAACAATGTGCATTCAACTAGTTGGGGCACAAATTTCATAACAAAGAATTTATTTAAAAACATGTTCCTCTTTAGCTGATGGTGTAAGATGTTTGAAATGGCCTCAATTATTTTGCTTTTCATTATTAATTGCAGAATGATTCTTACTATGTGGTTTGCCTGGGGGTAGCTCACTGCAAATATTTTATATTCTAAATTCCAACTGTGCTGAGTAACTTTGAAGATCACATGGGAATTGATGGTCCCTGAATGGATGATGTTAACATCTGAGATCAGCTGGGTAAATATGTTTATGCACTTAAAATGTATTCTCCATGAACATTCACTAGTATTCACTTAAAATTTGCTGTGTCTATGATCATCCTACAAACTCCTTTGTTAGCATATTCATGAAAAGAAAACACAATTTGCATACATTTAAATGTATACTTGTGGGCACAGGAAATGTGAGCTGAAAACTTTTTTCATTCTATGTGTAAGGACCTGGGACAAACTGACCCATAATTAGTTGACTATAAATGATCAAATCCTATTCCCATTGAAGTCAATGGAGAATTTGCCATTGGCTTGGTAGTAGAAGGATGGAGAGAGCTAAATGATCAACAATTTCCCTATCACATCAGCCATTCTTGTAATAGAGAAACAGTTCATTTAAGCACACATTTTCTAAAAGAGCTTTATCTTCTTCACATAAGGATTCCCATATTTTTCTGTTAATTTGTGGAGTGCAGTTCCACACCATGAAAAGGAAAATTGTAGCTGTCACTGTTGCATTATCTTTATTCATAAATGTAGTTTGATATATATATCATGAAATTAGGAAGACAGCACATGTGTTCACCACCTGAGCAGATGAAAACATCATTGCAAGAGAAAAGATGATAAAGTACATTCATCCTAACCCAGCCTCCAAGGTGCACTCCTGCATCTGTTAGATATTTACTTTTATAAAAGTAACTTAGAAATGTAAGCCTTTGAGATCAGAGGAGGGGACACATTAAGAAAAGTTTGTGAAATGGAAGAGTTTTGTCCAGCAGAGTACGTTCTGAAAGCTTAGGGAAATAAATATTACTCTCCTTAGTAATATTTTATAAAAGCTCTCATCTCATAATCCCATGGGGGATGTTATTAAAATTAATAAAGAAAAAAAAGTAAGAAAAAAATGCATGCACATAAATGTAACATCTGAAATGTACAATGTTAAGCTGTAAAACCACTTGCTATCTCTTTCTTCCCCTGCTTCTGCAGACCTTCCTTGTCCCATATAACTGTTCTCACATATCATGAAACAGAATATGCTTACATGAAAATAAAAACACATGCACATAATAGTTCATGTTGAGCTTACTCAAGTCTTTTGCTTTCCCCTGCCTATGTAGTGTCAAGTGCAACAAAACAAAACGTACAAAAGGTAAATTTTCAGATGTGGGCAACCAAATGGACAAATTAAAAAAGAGAGACAGTGTTGCCTGGAGCAGGGGACTGGGTATCATAACCTATGGGGCCTATTTCCCGCTCTGTTACTGAGAACATGTCTACATGATGACGTGAGAGGACTAGATCCTCCACTAGTGTAAACTGTCATAGGTTCATTGACGTCAGTGGGACTGTGACAGTTTTACCAGCTGAGGATCTCACCATGAATGCTTTGCATTGATATACCT